CTTCTTCTTTTTTTAATGTTTATTTATTTTTGAGAGAGAGATAGAGTGTGAGCAGGGGAAGGGCAAGAGAGAGGGAGACACAGAATCCGAAGCAGGCTCCAGGCTCCGAGCTGTCAGTGCAGAGCCTGACGCGGGGCTCGAACCCACAAACCGTGAGATCATGACCTGAGCCGAAGTCCGACTGAGCCACCCAGGTGCCCCGAGAACGCTGTAATTCTTGGAAGCATTTGTCCCAAGTGTATTTCACTGTTTGTACACTTACTCGCGTGTGGGTCTCTTTTGCTAAATGAGCCTAAGAAATAACACTGACAATCAGAGCTGACCCTTTTTAGTTACTATATGCCAGACACTACGCCAGGACCCGAATTTGAATCCTACTGTGTGATGAGACTTGTTATTAACCCCATTTTGACATCTGATGCTGTGAGAAGTCACTTACCCATAACTGCTCAGCTACGAAGTGGCCGAGCCAGGATTTGAACCCAGGCAGTCTGGCTCAGAGTCTGTACTTCCGGCCACCACCTTCTATGAGGGAGGAGACCTAGTTTTCCCTGCTCAGCTGTGCAAGAGGGCAGGGAATGTGGATGGGTCCAGGCCCTGACCACCACCTCCCACAGGAAGCCCCGGTGACTCTGCAGCTGCTCTTTTTGGATGGCGAGGAGGCACTGAAGGAGTGGGGACCCAAGGACTCCCTTTATGGCTCCCGGCACCTGGCCCAGCTCATGGAGTCTGCACCCCACAGCCCAGGCCCCACCAGGATCCAGGCTATCGTAAGACCAGGGCCCCACTGGGTTCCGGTGAGGGAGGGAGAGGGCCGTGCAAGGTTGGCCACATCCCACCTGGCCTCTCTCTCTAGGAGCTCTTCATGCTTCTTGATCTCCTGGGCGCCCCCAATCCAAACTTCTACAGTCACTTTCCTCACACGGCCCGCTGGTTCCATCGGCTGAGGAGCATAGGTAAGGGTGTAGGCGGAGGCAGGCGCCAGCCTGGGATGTGGGAGGGACAGCCAGCCGAGTCAGGCACCTGTCGCTAAGGGGTCATCCAGCCTGCCCTCTACCTCCCTAGCCTCTAAGGCACTAGGGCAGAAACACACAAAGATCCCACAGCAATCAAGTGCAGTGACTACAAACAGGGGCTCTGGGGTCAAATAGCCCCAGGTTTGAATTCTGGTTCTGCCTCTTACAGGCTGTGTGAACCTGGGCAAATGGCTTCGTCTCTCTGAGCCTCAATTTCCTATCTGTAAAATGGGCACAAAACTGACAATAGGAGGGGTATCTGCCTCTGAGGCTCAGAGGGAATAAATAGACCGGGTACACAGTGAGCCTTCAGGAAGGGGTAACTACATTCTTGTCGGGATGATCAGTGCTTTGCCCAGGTCTCCTGCCCTGCTCTGATTTGTGAGCAGAACCTCTGACCCTGAGGGGCTGGCTCTTACTCTCTAATGCCACCACCTCCAGAGAAGCGTCTGCACCGCTTGAACCTGCTGCAGTCTCATCCCCAGGAGGTGATGTACTTCCAGCCCGGGGAGCCCCCTGGCTCTGTGGAAGATGACCACATCCCCTTCCTCCGCAGAGGTAGGTGCTATAGGGAGGAGTGAGGGTTGGGGAGGGGCGGGGGTCCAAGGAAAGCACAGATGGGGCCTGGCCCTGGCCCACTCCCAGGGCTGGGGACTGGTGGCAAGTTGTTTAACATCTTTGTGCCTCGACTTTCTCCTCTGTAAAATGGGGTCACTAGCAACCCCTGTCTCAGAGCTGTGGAGGGAACCGACTGAGCTAATACGTGTAAAGATGCTACTTGCATGGTGATGGCACATAATAAGCGTTCAAGAAAATGTTAGCTACTCTTGTTGGTGCCTCAGTGATTGTGGATTCCAGCCCAAGCCTGTCTTTCCAGGCCCTGACAGCCCAGCAGAATCACCCAAGGAACTTCGAGAAATGCCCAGTTGCATTCATTTCTGGCCTACTGAACCACAGTCTCGGGTCTCTGAATTATTTCTGCAAGACTCCCAGATGATCCTGAGGCACAGCCAGGGCTGAAGACATCTGTTAGAGGGGTTCAGAACCTAGGTTTTTAGAACTGGACAGGCTTGGGTTCTGCCACTTACCATGGGTTGACCCGAGGCAGATTACCCAGGCTCTCTGAGCCTCTTGCCTATGTTTCTTCTAGAAAACGAAGACATATACATACAAACACACCTGTATGTGTATATTCATACTCACAGGGTAGGGAGGATTGAACAAGAGTAGGTATATAAAATGCCTTCGTATGCAGTGCTTGGCATATAGTGAGTATTAACAACTGCTTTTTAAATTTTTGTTCTATAATTTACTCATTGAACAAATATGCATTCCTTACAGTGCCTTTTTTTTTAATCTTTTTTTTTTTCTGATTCTAGGGCACCTTTTATTTATTTTTTTTTCATTCTTATTTATTTTATTTATTTATTTTTTTAATTTACATTCGAGTTGGTTATCATATAGTGCAACAATGATTTCAGGAGTAGATTCCTTAATGCCCCTTCCCCATTTAGCCCATCCTGCCTCCCACACCCCTCCAGTAACCCTCTGTTTGTTGTCCATATTTAAGAGTCTCTTATGTTTTGTCCCCTTTCCTGTTTTTAGATTATTTTTGTTTCCCTTCCTTTATGTTCATTTGTTTTATATCTTGAAGTCCTCATAGGAGTGAAGTCATATGATATTTGTCTTTCTCTGACTAATTTCGCTTAGCATGATACCCTCCAAAGTTCTATCCATGTAGTTGCAAATGGCAAGATTTCAATATTTTCGTCATATAATACTCATTGTGTATATATATTACATCTTTCTTTATCCATTTATCATTTCATTGATATTATTATTATACTTTTTGATATATTCATTTATAGTATATATGTTTTAATTTTTGAGAATGAAAAGATCATGGGATGAGACCACCATATCCTGTAATAAATATTTAGAAAGAGGATGATATAGAAGTTTCGATGTTACTTTTTTTTGAGAGTTCCCTGCCCTATATTGGTTTGAGTATCATGAAAATTGGTTTTATATTATTTATGATTGATAGGGAGTAACATCTTCATCTCACTACTGACATTTATGTTATTTATTTGAGTTTGTTACATGTTAATATTATTCACATTAGTGAGAAGGTCTAATTAGTACTTGGATCATTATTCCTTCTCTCACTGAGATATTAGAGTGGTGATGAGATATTTTTATGGTAACGCTTAGAATAATTAGATACTTCCCTTGGAGAAGTGTCTGTCCATGTCTCACCCATTTCTTCACTGGACTATTTGTTTTGGATGTTGGAGTTTGATGAGTTCTCTTTATCTGACATGCCACGGTAAAATATCTTCCCATTCCTGCTGCCTTTTGTCACATTGTTTCTCTCTGCCAAAAGTATTTTTATTTTGGATGAGGTCCTGGGTCAGTTCATTTGCTTGGTTTCCTTGCCTCCAGAGACGGTTATAAGAAGTTGCTGCAGCCGTCAAAGAGGTTTTGCTCATTTCTAGATTATTTGGGATGGCTTCTGTCTTACATTTGTGTCTTTCATCCATTTTGAGTTTATCTTTTGTGTCTGGAAAAAAGAAAGTAACCAGGTTCATCTTTCATGTCGCTGTCCAGTTTTCCCATACCCACTTAAGGAAGAGACTGTTCATTCCATATTCTTTTCCTGCTTTGTCAAAGAGAAGGGCTACTACATTTGGCCCATTTCTGCTCCTCATTCTGTTCCATTGATCTGAGTGTCTGTTTTTGTGCTAGTATTATACTGTTTTGATGATTCCAGCTTTGTAATACAGCTTGAAGTCCGTTTTAATGATTTTTTTTTTTTAAGTTTACTTATTTACTTTTGGAGAGAGAGAGAGCATGAGCATGGGAGGGGCAGAGAGAGAGGGAGAGAGAGAATCCGCACTGTTAGCACAGAGCCTGATGCGGGGCTCAAACTCACAAACCTGAGCCAAAACCAAGAGTCAGACCCTTAACCGACTGAGCCATGCAGGTGCCCCTCCAGAGCCTTCTTTATTGATTCATTCAGTGACTATTTCCCACTGCAGTACTGGGCCAGGTGTCAGGGATACAGTGATGGACAATAATCTGCCTGGGTCCTGTCTAGTGGGGGGGCGGGGAACGATATTGACAAACACAGAGGATATTGGATATTGACAGATATTAACAAACACAGAAGAAAGTGCTCTGAGGACAGGAACTCCTCGCAGTGCAGGAATTAGGAAAACAGACTTAGGAGACAGGTGTCGTGGGTTCCAATTACTGCTGTGCAGGTTTACTAGAGGCCAGAGCTTAAGCAAATCACTGTGCCTGCCTCTGTGCCTGGGTGTCCTCGTCTATGAAATAGGGGTAAATATAGGATTACTCTAAAGGATTATTGCAGGGATAAAATGGTGTGTGGGGATGTGTATGGCCTCAGTGTAGGGCCTAGAATAGAACATGTATGATAAAAGTACAAGCTAAGGGCACCTGACTAGCTCAGTAGATAGAGCATCTGACTCTTGATCTTGGGGTTGTGAATTGGAGCCCCACACTGGGTGTTAGAGATTGCTTAAAATTTTTTTTTTAATATTTATTTATTTTTGAGAGAGAGACAGAGACAAAACGTGAGCGAGGGAGGGGCAGAGAAAGAGAGAGACACAGAATCCAAAGCAGGCTCCAGGCTCTGAGCCATCAGCACAGAGCCCGATGTGGGGCTCAAACCCACGAACCTCAAGATTGTGACCCGAGCTGAAGTCAGATGCTTAACCGACTGAGCCACCCAGGCATGCCTAGAGATTGCTTTAAACAAAAATTTTTTTTAAAAGGTACGAGCTATAAATAAAGAACAGAAAAACAGCCTAATAGTCTACCTGGTAAGGAAACTCAAAGGCCCTCTTTCCCTTCTTCTGGTCTTTGCCTAATCCATTAACTATTCAGTTTCTCTAATGTGTGTCTGAGAACAATAGATACACCAGATGTGTTTTTTCAAATGAACACGTTGCCCTCACGTGCATAAAATCGTCATTCAGAGTTCTTCAAGGGCCAGGACTCAGTATCTTCTGGGTGGGGGTGAGACAACTTTGCTCGGGCCTGGGTCTGGGCTCCTGGATCGGCCGTCGGCCTGACCAAGCCTCCCCTCTCTCCTACAGGGGTCCCAGTACTCCACCTCATCTCCATGCCCTTCCCCTCTGTCTGGCACACGCCTGGCGACTCGGAGGCCAACCTGCACCCCCCCACGGTGCACAACCTGAGCCGCATCCTCGCCGTGTTCCTGGCTGAGTATCTGGGGCTCTAGCCCCCCCTTGGCGGACTCTGAAGGAGAAGTGTCCAGCTGGGACGTCCCAAGGGCACCCAGAGCCAACAGAGCTCAAGCCAGGCTGCCTGATCCTTTCTTCCGCTCTATTTATGCCATGATCGGAAGACCCTCTTTCCTTTGATGGTCTCAAGCTGTCACTCTTCAAAGACACAGAAGAGACAAGGCCACTGTGGGCGCGAGAGCCAAAGGCTTGAGAGCTCGGACCCTGTCCTGAAGCACTTGGTTTGAAGGTTCACAGGCACCAAATGCTGTTTGGTTGGAGTCAGCAGACCTTGGCCAGGCATCTGGACCAGCAGCACCGCCCCACCAAATGAATCCTCCGTGGCTTATGTTCTTACGATGTCAGTGGATTGCCATGGGGGGTCCACAGGGGACGTGCTTGTAAACAGGAACAGAGGAGACGGAAGCCGATATTTGGGGACTCGAATCTGCCAGACCCAAGGGCAATAAACCAGTGTTTCTGGGGAACATATTCTGCAGAATTAGCATGACTAGGTGTTGCATGAGAAAAGGGGATCAGAGACGCGGGATGAGACATTAAAGGAGTTTCTTCATTGCACAACGTGACATTTCCAAGAGTAAGACAGGATGCAGTGTTGTTTCCCCCAAACTATTTCAGCGTGGAACCCCTTTATTGCAAGGCTCGTGGAACTAGGGTACCTCAGAAGTCACATTGGGAAACACTCGGTTTTGACAAGTTTGAGTGTGTCCGTGGAGGGAATAAGACGGACCTTGATTCACTGCCCACCAGGTCTACCAAACCATCCTTTGTCTTTCTGTTGTGGGTGTGGGAGTGTGAGAAGGTGGGGGTCACTGCAACTCCAGTTGAGGACGTATTTCCCAACCCTACCTAATATTCATGCTCAACTGGAGTGCTTATTAAAAAATTCAGAATCCCAGGTTCCTCCCGTTCCCCCCCCCGCCCCACAACCACCACCCAAACTTGCTGAATCAGAACTCCAGAGAGGGGCTGGGACTTTGCAATGAGCACCCGAGGAAGCCTTCCCATCCCCCATAAAGCTGGGGGAGACACACTGTCCTTAAGGTGCGTTCCCCACGGCTTAGCAAACCTACTCAAAAGAAAACCATAACATGGAGGGTGCCTAGAAAGGGAGTCCTCTGCCGGGCTCTGTGCCTGCTGGTTTTGTGACTTTGATGGAGTCCCGGCAGGCAGTTACGTAGTGAAGGTGAGCACTGGCCTTCCGAGCCAGCTCGGGGCTGGAGAAGACTCCAGAAAACCCACAGGCTGAAACCCAGGATATCAAATGAGAGAGGAGAAATAGGTCCTCGTTCGTGGTTTCCCACAGTAGCTGACCTTCATCTGGCACCTGCTGTGTGCCAGGCGCCATGAGCACTTTACACAGATTGGCTCATGGAGTCACCGCCCAAGTCCTGAGGTAGGTACAATTTCGGTTCTCATTTTGCAAAGGAAGTGGCTAGGGCTGAGAATGATACCCCGTTGTTTACAGAGCCCACGTCCTCACCCACGACTGCACTCTTAACCCCATGTCTCATCTCCCAGAAATCACCTGTGCTGGCCCAACAGATGGTTGACAAAAAGTAGCTCCTCCTGCCGCATAATTAACTGCAAGTTAGAGCGGGGTTGGGGGGACACTGGTGGCCTCTTACAGGTGGACATGGCACTAGTCGAGTTTAGAAATGGAAGTTCTGTGTCTTCTATCAACAGCCAGGGTGGCCTGGATCTCAAGCCACAGGCACGGCTCCTGTTTGTTCATTTCTTGTGTGTTACCGCCAGTGCCAAGCACTCGAGAGGGTTTCATCTCCCCTTAGCCTCACTGCCATCCCCGAGGGAGGGGAGACCATCACCTCGGTGTTAGAGACGGGGAGCCGTGTGTTCAGTTACACACCCCGGGCTCTCTACGTCTCCTGCAAGACCTCCCAGTGGGGTGTACTGAGTACCAGGCACCGGGCAGGGAGGCCTGATGCACATTTCACCCTTGAATCGGGGACAGGGATCCTTAGCCCCATTTCACAGATGAGGCTGCTGATGCTTGGCCAGGTGTCTTTCGCAGCTCCCACTTGTCCCCCAAACTAGGGGCTTTCCGGTTTTACAACTCTGGAGGGGCCGCTAGGTTTATCTGAAGTACACCTGTTGAGCAATCCAGGTGCCGATGACTCACACATCGATCTTTCGAAGAAGGGTCAGTATTCTCATTTTGCACTTGAACAAACAGCTTCAGAGAAATCAATGGCTATAGGTCACATAGCCGGACACTTTCATGCAACGTGTCTAGAGGCACTTTTTTTTTAATTCGCTCTGCTTATAATTATTTGGGCTTGTTGGTGTCATTCATCAGTCTAGGATTTGCCAACCATCCTGTCTTTAAATATTATCTTTGTACCATTGCCTCTTCTGATTCTAGAATGTCAACTGAATATGTTAGACATTGTATTTTCCATGACATTCTTTCATATTTTTTTGTGTGTCTCTTTTTTGTCTCTGTGCTACTTTTCAGACCTAGCTCTAGTTCAACGAATCTTTTTTCAGTCATGTCTTATTTGCTGTTTAGCCCAGCTATTGAGTTTTTACTTTGGGTTATTGAGTCTGTGGCTCTTTTTTTTTTTCCTGTTATTGTTACTAATATAATCTGTTGTCAAATTGGATAACATACAGTGTGTAAAGCATGCTCTTGGTTTTTGGGGTAGATTCCTGTGGTTCATCGCTTACATACAACACCCAGTGCTTATCCCAGCAAGTGCCCTCCTCAATGCCCATCACCCGTTTTCCCCTCTCCCCCACCCCCCCTTTTTAAAAATGTTATTTTTGAGAGAGAGAGAGAGCGAGCATGCATGCACATGAGTGGAGGAGGGGCAGAGAGAGAGGGAGACACAGAATCCGAAGCAGGCTCCAGGCTGTGAGCTGTCAACACAGAGCCCGATGTGGGGCTCGAACTCACTAGCCGTGAGATCGGGACATGAGCTTAGTTGGACGCTTAACCAACTAAGCCACCCAGGCGCTCCTGTGGCTTCTTTCCGCCCACTCCCCACCCCCCAGATTTCCAAGCTCTTGTATAGAGCAATCCTATGAAACCTATAAGCCACAAAGAGTATCCCCTGCTTTCCAAAAGTTCATGTCCCACCACTTTTACAAAAAGACCTACACTGGTACCTATTTTCACTAAAGGAAAGAGATCTGAAGATTTTCACTTTTATGAAACGAGCCGTTACCGTACTAATGTAGGTCTTGTGTAAAGGCGAGGTGAATTAACTTGAACTTTCGGGAAGGGGGGGGGGGGATACCTGTATTCTAACCTGTGCCTGACCGGTTCACCCTGTGAAGCCTTTGTGAGTCTGCTTCTGCTGTTGTCTGTGACTGTCTACTAGTCATTGTCTGAAAAATCACTTGTGGACATTCTAGATGACAGGTCCTTACCCCAGAGGATTTATGTTTGTTTCTGCCAGACGTCTCAGCTAAGAAGTACCCTGCAACACAGATGATACAAACCTGGGCCACAAACCTGAGCCAAGGGCCAGCCTGTGTCCATGAATTCTTGGGGTCCACTTTTTTCTCTCCTTTGGTCTTGTGCTCCCCTCAGTGTTATTTAAAAAAAAAATTTTTTTTTAATGTTTATTTTTGAGAGAGAGAGAGACACAGAATCTCAAACAGCCTCCAGGCTCTGAGCTGTCGGCACAGAGCCTAACACGGGGCTTGAACTCACGAACCGTGAGGTCATGACCTGAGCCAAAGTTGGGTGCTTCACTGACAGAGCCACCCAGGCGCCCCTCCCCTCAGTGTTTAGAACATCTTCTCTGCAGTCTTCTGGGTCATCCTTACTGGAGCTTGTAGTTTGGTGGGATCCCAGCTCCTGTGAGATTTCCCACCTTGGGCAGGCTTGGCCTTGACTTCTGTCTGCTTGTCCCTACAAGATTACAAATAGGAAACTCAAGTTTGTTGGCATAAGCAAATGCCCTCAGAGCAAAAGTAGCTTCCATGCCCCATGTACCTTTCCCTTAAATTTCTGGTGTGATGTGTCCTTTAACTGTATTATATTGGCTATTTGATGCTTTTACGATTTTTTAACTACCTCTATTCAGCAGAAGAATCCAAATAATCTGGTTTCTCCCTCCAGAAAACTGGCCCACAAAGCCAAGCCAAGACTCAAACCCAGCTCTCTTTGATTCCAAAATCTAAGTATTAAATAACGACCGTGATGTATCCTAGTCTCTCTGGTCATTTTTATACCCTGATGAGAATATCAGAGACTGTTAATTGGCTCTCAAAATCCATTCTTCTCTCTTCCTTTATACTTGAATTGTTTAAATGACTTAATTCCTCTTCTTATTTAGTAAATAAGTGAGGATTTTAAAGCTTCAGTTATGGGGAACACAGGAATCTTTAGTAACAATAGTTTTTTTGTTGTTGGGCATGATGTACCAGCTAAGGCACAACATTTCCCAGTCTCCCTTGCAGCCCTTCCATGTGGCTTAAGCTGTGACTAATGAAATGTTGTATGGTGCAGTAGTTCTGGGAGGAAGGAGTCTTCTCTTCCTGCAAAATAATGATGGCTGGAGTTCTAGCAGCCATCTTAGACCATGAGGATGGGGGCCACAGCCAAAGAATAGTGAGCCGGAAGCAGCCTGGGTTCCTGATGACTTCAGGGCCACCGTACCTGCCCATCCTGGATTTCTAAAGAAATAAAAACTATCTTGTTTAGGCTACTAATAACGTTGAGATTTTTGAATCCAAATGGACACAGACGAAGGAGAGTCAAAAACAATCTCAAGCTAAGGGACTTGGCTAACGATTCTTTTCTGTCTTTTCCAGCTCACCATGCAGTGGCCCAGGGCTCCCTCCTCTCTCCAACCCCCTCCCTAAACAACACACAAACCAGTCCGGGCCCAGCCTTATAAATATTGATTTTATAGAAAGGACCAATTCAAAACTGGCCAGATGCCACACACCAGAAGCTTCCAGAACCACAAGGATGAAAATCCAAAATCAAAAAAAA